TCCTGCTCATCCCTTCCCATGGGAGGAGATGAGGACTGTCTAAGCAGTGAGCTCTAGTACCTGGTGTGTAGCTTACAATCTTCCAATGCAAACACTTCCTTCATGTGGTAATCTTACCAATGTTTTTCTTCATTATAGTTGCTGTCTCAGCCCCAGTGTAGACTGATTGCTCTCTTGGGCACCATGAATCCCTGCAGTGTCACCACATTGTTATCATTTTGACATCTTGATATGGTGTAACTAAATTTTCTAGATAAAGTACATGGTTAGCCTTGCTGTTGCTTTTTAATTCTATTTCTATTTGAGCTAATAAAGCAAAAGATGTTTTATAATTTAATTGGGGATTGGTCTTGCCCTGAATTGATAAATTCATGTGCATTGGACTCCTGGTATTTCAACAAGCATTACTGTGATCCCACAGCTCTGGTCCATGCTAGGTAATGCTGGATAAATCTCCTGTTCGCACGCTTGCTATTGCTTTCCAGATTATATTTCCACTCATGGCTACTTCCATACAGGCGTAGTGCTGGACAGGGCAAGAGCTGCTTAGTTTTTGTTTGAATCTGAGTAATTTTTGGACAGTGCTTTGTTTTTTCATTCTCTCCTCCATAGAAGCAGCATGTCTCAGGTGCAGCTGGTGGATTGCAAATTACTCTACAATTGACAGAGCCCAAGTTAATTTTATTTTTGTTGACTCTTTAATACTAGCATTTATTCCCAGTTTTGTTTAATATTTGTATCTTCAGGGTAAACCACCAAGCTTTGTTTAGGCACATTCTGTGCTGTGGTCAAATGACTGTGATTAGACTCTACCAGCATGTGGAAACCAAAACGCTCAGCCTCATGTGCAGTGTTTGCTTTTAGAGGTAGATGCTTGTGGGTTGAGTTTCATGCATTAATGGCAAGCTCTTACTATTTACTTTGTGTCTATTTTATTAGTAAATGCAGGTTTTTACTTCTAGCTAGTGTCTTTTTATTATATAAAATAAATGTAACTAAAAGATACTGTTGCTGTATAGAAATTAACATTCATTTCCTTTGTCAGATGTTCCTGTCTTTAAACAAAGCAAAACAAAACTGACTGTGCATTATATCTTGAAATTATACCTTCAAATATCTTTGAAATACCAAATAAATATTTAACACTGTATGTTACATACACCGTACATGAAACTGGTCAGATCACATTAAATAGCCTGGCTAGTGTAACAGAATATCAGGGTGCCATGGTTACTGTCTACTATTGTGTTAATTTTCTTCATCTTTTTAGCTTTGTTAAAGTATTTTAATATGGAAAGTGATAATCAGTAAATATGCCTTAAAACAGGGTCTTGCTTCATTGCATGGAGTTGCAGGACAGGATTAGACTATTTTGTGGTGTAATATTGTGGGCAAGCCACCAGAAGCAAAGTATATGAAATATTAATTACTGTAAAATACCTGTTTTTAAAAAGTTTCATTCATCAGAAAGCCACAAAATGAGCTCTTTTGTTGCAGTACTGAACAGAGTGAACCTTGTATGAATGCAGAGGTACTTTACCTGCTCAAGTGGCGGTTGGGACATTTGTGTAATTCTCATTGTGCACTTAAATGTGAAATATCTAATGAAAATTCAGAAATAATTTTGCTTCTGAGACTGAAGATCTTGAAATTGGATTTGTTGCACATAGTCCATTTTGCTTTGCAAGAGAGAACAGCTCCAAATTGGGATAAAAAACTTAAATGTATTAAAACTATTTAAAAATAAAGTAGATCAAAATAATAAATCTTTTCAGATTCAGGATCTGGTTAGTTTAAAAAAGGGAGGAAGGAAAATTAACATGTTAAATTTTACATGTAATGAATTAGTGATACCTTTTAATTCTAACTTAGTTTCCCCTGAAAATATGACATTTCCTATCTATCTTAACTTTAATTGTTGGTATGGGAAGGAAATAATTTTTCTTGCAAGTATCTACTTCTTAAATATATGTTTGTTATTATCTAGAGAAAATACCAGAAAATCCTGATCAGACAAGATTTTCTACTTAATATAGTGGTATTTTATGTTCAAGTGCCATTTTTGTTGAGAATCCTTTACAGAAAGAGAAAAACATGCAGGAGAAAGTTCTGGAGCACATCTTGGTGAAAATACTTAGGTCTTTTGGACCATTATCTTCATTTGCTGGTTCTCCAGTAGTTGTCATTTGCCATATTCTCACAGTAATATGCAGAAGTATCCGAATCCTGAGGCTACATTTGTACTTCAGGTTGCGGGTTGTGGTCCAGGGCTGGCTTCAACCTGCTGAGCTTGGTGGCCATGTGCTCTAACCAGAAGAGCTTTGGCTTTATCAATTCCTCCAGGGTGGAGCACTCAGTCCTGCTGCTACCGACCTCTTAAGACTGTACGAAGGAAACTGGATTTCTTTGCCTGAGACTCTCCCTCACAAGTCTGGAGAAGACCTCTTAATACAAACTCAACAGTTTTCACAGTTGATAGGGATTAGTCTGGCCTTGAAAGTTGACTCAAATCTACACCTAAGTGCTAGTGTTGGGCTACCTTGGGGTGCTTTGACCTGGCCAAGTGGAGACCAAGGTCTGTCCTTCAAAACGTATTGTTAATTTGTCTCCTGACATTAGGTTGCTTTAATTGTAGATCTTTTTACTTTTTCATTCTGCTACTTGCTTAGAAAAACAAAAAAGGTAAAATGGTCTAATTTCTTTCTTTAGCTATTACTGTGGATCATAGCTCTGTTTAAAAACTGTTACCAATCCTTTCTACCAGGATCATGGTGGCACCGAACCTGCAAGCAGCGAAGAAGACCCGACTTTGGAAGTTGTCATGAAAAGTTTGACTGATGAGGAATCCAACAAAGCTGTAAGTGACTTAAAGTGATATTTAATGATGATTAGAGCTTGGAAAATGAAGGCTTATTGGCTTGATTTGTTTTCTCTCCGCCTTTGTGTTGGAGTATGACAGCACGCTTTTGTCAGATAATATCCAGTACATGTAAGAGCAGAATCAAGCTCTTTGCTTTACATACATCGACTGTTCTCATGAGCTAAACAGTCAGTGTAATTTGTTAAAATATTGAGATAAGAGTTCTTATGTAGCATTTTGGCCCTCTCCTGAGTTTTTTCTCAGTTAGGGGATTGAGTTTCCACTCTTGCTATCCATGTGTAACAAACCTCAGAAAAAAGCGTGGTCTGTAAATCATATTCTTATTTATATTCATAGCTTCATAAATTCTAAGGCCAAAATGTCTATTATCATAATCTAGTCTTGCCTCCTGAATAACATAGCTATAGAGTTACTCTCGGTAATTTCTACATCAAGCCCATAACTTCTGGTTTAATGTGGTACTGTCAGTGTGCCCTGTAATAAATACTGAACCTCTCATTGATACAGATGGAGTTTTTTGTTGTTTAATATGTCAGGATTGTGCATTATCAGAAATCTGAAAGTCCTGCAGGGTGCAGCTCTAATCTCTTTTTCTTGGACTGTGTGTTAAAAGTTTAAAATGGAAAACTACTAAAGATGTGGAAGAGTGACTAACCTAGAGGTACATAAAATTTGCTGAGACAATCTTTTTGTCCAACAGCCTTCTCCTTTTTCAGGGAGGGTGTTGGCTGAGGTTTGCTGTGCGTGCACAGTCTGTGTGTGCTGTCCACTGGACATTTCTGGATTTATTTTTTTTCTTAGATGTTGTCTTCCTGCTCCATCATATCTTTTGCAAATATGAATTGAATATACATAATGTTCAATAGCTAGTAAGTATTTAATTAATGAGTCTATGAACTCCAAGAGTTAGGAAATGTTAAGCGCTGTTCAGGCATCAGAATTAACCACCTATGTAAAACTGATTGGTTTGTGTTCCTAATGGATTACAAAAAAGTTGTATTATTTGTATTTGGTAGCTTTGTGCAGAATCCTCCTTTGATGCACCAGAATATAAATGAATCAGAGTTTTACTGTATGTATTTACAGGTGTAATTCACCTGGTTTTATTGCTGTTCTTGCTCAACTTTGCAAGAAACTTTCGAAGGATTACAAAGGAATACGAAAAATTGCTCAAAGACTGAAGTGAATAAAAATATATAAAATATATTGTACAAAAATCAACTTGTGGTGTAGGATGTTGTGCTGTGCACAATTTAATCTTTTTGAAAGATATTGGGGGAAGTTCTAATTTAATGGTGAAAAAAAAAATTGCAGCAATCCAAGATAGGTGTGGAGGGAAGATGCCACTGGAACAGCAGGGAACCAAGAATATATTGACACCTTCTTTTCAAACCTGAAGCAAGAAAGAAGGGAACTGTGTTGCCAAAGGGTAGAAGTTACAGTATTTTAAGCTGCAAGGTAAAAAAAAAAAGAGAAAGATAAAGCGTTGGTGGTAAGAGTTGTCCAGAACAGGGCAATGACAGAAAGGTAAGAGAAGACAAAGGCAAGGATTTATTGAGAGCCTCGAGGTGAGGAGAACATCACCATAGTACTTAGCTTTTCCTGCCCACTCTCCATACCACGTTATCTCATCTTTCCACTTAAATTGTTCATGTAACAACAACTGGCTGCTACAATTTACTTTATATCTTTAGAATTCAAAATGCTTTATCCAGCAGGCCAGTAGTTTTATCCCCACTGCAGCACAGAGGGGAAGCGACCTGTCTTGGGTTACTGGTGAGATCAGGAGGTAGTGACTGTGTCACTCTTCTGATGGCTGTGTAGCCCTGCCTTTGTTCAATGGATATTTGGATATTGGAACAATCACTGCTTGTTCCATTAGATACATAGATACTGAAAAGTTAAGGGCTAGGTATTCAAATGCTTATAGACCCATAGCAAAGTACTCGAATACCTATAGATCCAACTGCTCATTCCATAATGCCTTCAGTTGGGCCAGCTCTTGGTTTAGAGGTGTAAATGGATGAAAAATAGTGGTGAAAATCAGTTTTATAATTTCAGAGTTTTCTTTCAATTGGGATTTCAAAACTACATGGCAAATATTTTGAAGAGTATCTTAATCTTGTAAATGCTGATGGTTGTGATCAGTCCCTTCTGACCAGAAGGAAATGGGTTTGTAGTCAGATCGGCATTAAGACGTTGACACTGCAGTGCAGCACAAGACAGCTCATTATTTTGAGGAAAAGAGATTTCTCTTGCAGTCTCTTAGTGACTGTTAAGGCAAAAGAAAACAGTGCCTTGTTTTTCATAGCGTGATGGTTGCTACTAGAGCCTAATGCTGCTTCACCATTGTTACTGAATTTCTCAGTCGTATGTCAGGAGAAATCAGGAATGTAAAAGTCAACAAGTAAGATCAAGTTCACTGAGAAAATAAAAAGGACGTGCTTATCAGCAGAGATCTTCCACAAGTATGTACAGCTCAAAGCATGGGCAGGATGTCTCACCAAGTGACAGCTGTAATAAAACAAAAAAATTAAGAATTCACATCACTCTGTAATCACTTGTTGCTGATAAATTTGTCAGTCTCTCCCAAGATCAGTTTTGTTGTCACTTCATCACTTTAAAAAGTATGAAGTTATATAATGGACATCATTGTAGACTTGGATGATAAAAAGGGGGAAAGAAAACAACTTTCTTTCTGAACTGGAGCCAGTGGAAGTGTTAGGCAAAGTTTGCATGTTATTAGCTGAGGTTTGAGGTGGCCTGATGGAAGGCCGTTGTTTTCTGAGGACTGTAGCTATCTTGCTTTCCACAAGGTATCATTGGAAAAGAATTGATATATGGGGCTTTGAGATGTTCTCAAAACTTTTAACTTTAGACAGGTGAAAGTGGCTTGAGCAGCCGTCGTGTCATGAGCACGTTGTGTCATGGCTTGAGCACCTTGTGTCATCAGTGTCCTGGCAGAAAGTGTGCGCAGTTCAGTGTCCTGTAGGTGGGATGATTCAGCTGATGTTTGGTGTGTGAGAATGGGTTCAATTTCCTTATAAGTTTTGAACTTGGAACACTAATCTATCTTTACCACAAACAGAAAACGTGTCCTTGAAACATGGAAATGGGTTTAAGCTGAAAGAGGGTAGATTTAGATTAGATATTAGGAAGAAATTCTTCACTGTGAGGGTGGTCAGACACTGGAACAGGTTGCCTAAGGAAGTTGTGGCTGCTCCTCCCTGGAAGTGTTGAAGGTCAGGCTGGATGAGGCTTTGAGCAACCTGGTCTAGTGGAAGGTGTCCCTGCTGCTGGCAGGGGGGTTGGAACTGGATGATCTTTAAGGTCCCTTCCAACCCAAACCATTCTATGATTCTATGATTGACAAAGAGGAGGGGCTTCATAAAAATGCTTTTGGATGCATTTGAGGGCATTGAATTAGAATAAACCAGTTGGGTCGCAGGCTTATGACAAATGCTGAGTGTACAATTCAGTGCTTGAGGGGCTGGAAATCTTTTTATTTTGTTCAGGTACCTCTAGCATAGTCTGAGTTAAGTGGAGAAGATCAGAGAGATTTAAAGGTGATGCTTGGTGCTTACTTGATGTGCGAGTTGAAGTTTCAGATTTTAGTCACATGACAGAATGAAAAAAGGAAGTATGAAATAATTCTTCATTGCTCATTAAAACAATCTCTCATGAAAAGACAAAGCAGTCGTCCCATTTCTCCCCTGACACCTCTGATAATACAATGAGATCACCACTTTATCTTTTTGCTTGTTATCCGGTTGGATAACAGTTACAGTTGTATGGTTACAGCAAGCTTGGAGAAAAAAGCAGCAAAAAATGCAGGAAAAAGAAAAAGCCTGAGGGGCTTGGCATGATTTAACATCATAAAACTCCAGGAAACAAGGCCAGTATTTTCAAACTTTGTTACCTAAAATTTGATTTATGTATTTTTTTAAAAAAATGTATGAATTGTCATCTTAATTAGAAATTCTTTTGAGATGCAGAATCTCTCTGTTGTCTTTGAAGTTGGTACTCAGCTTTTCTGAAAACTAGACTATTTATCAGGGGGGTTTTTTTAACATGAGGTACGATAACTAATTAATACTGTGATCAAAGTGACCTAAGTTTGGCTAAGAGCTAACAAGGGGAGGACACTGTAACTATCTGGAAGCAGTTGGAGAAGTAAGAGAGGAAAAATATTTTTTTAGTGTATTGCAAGAGTATGGAAAGAAATTAGGGTACAAGTGGAGCCTATGATTGAAATGCCATTGTTTGAGATATTTATAATGAGGCTGGATGATGCATTTTAAGCAGTTACTTTATTTAAGTGCTGGCAGTGTGCTCGGTGCTGCTGAGGACTGCTGAAAAAGGGGAGAGGGAAGGAGACAACAGATAACTTCAAACCCCTTCCTGCTGTAGGCACCCAAGAGTCTCAGCTACCTGTGTGCTCGAGGTTCGGCACACAAATACCTGCGTGGTTGCACACAGCATGGGAATTGCTGTCCCTGTCACCCCAGAGGATGCCTGTCCTTCTTTAGAGCTTCTTATTGCTCAGGAACAATATAGACCGTGTGTGATAATCTCCTCCGAAGAAGCCCTTTCCTTACCTTGCATGCCTTCAAAACTGTTTGGTGGTTTTTTAGTAATTCCTGATACTCCTTATATTCGTATTATTTTTTCCACTTCTAAGTTCTGGGCTTCAGCTTTGTGTTGTGCTAGAAGTGTACTTGTATGACAAAATATCACTGTGTTTGCCTAGAATCACCATTTTGAGTTTTGGAGGACGTTTTATTTAAGCTAATATGATGTTTTCAATACTCTTCACTTTCTTTTTTAATTTTTTAGGATGTGAAATGTAAAGCTGACAAACCAGTGCTGGCGGATCCACAAGAAGTAGAGGAGCAGCTCCCAGAAAATGTATGTGTGTTTATTCTAACCAATAAGGGGGGGTTCTGGGGACTTGATCTGTTTGGAGATTACGTGATTTATGGGGGAAAGGGGTTAACTAGGGAGACATTAAAATAATTTAATTGGGGAGAAACTTAAAAAATTATTTATTTCTCTTTAATTATGTGGAAATAGACACACAGGCTAATGTCAAGGATATTCTTTGCTGTTTAAAAGTAAAATAAAACAAAAAAAACCAAACAAAACAACAAGGCACAGGTAAGGAAGGTGAAGTCCTGTTCCTACTTTCTAAATGAGCATTTTTGGAAGCACAATTATCCAAGTTGTCCAGTCATCCTGATTTTCCATTTATTTATGAAAAGAATGTTTTCAGTTCATCTATGCTTATTGCTTGTTTCTCTTTTATTGACTTAGTGGCTTTAATAAGGTTCAATAATTAACAACTAATTATGATGTCCACATAACATGCCTTTCTGTGATTGATCTCTTTTGCTTTACTTTGCTTTTAGGTCCTCAACCAGATCAAACAATCCAAAACTTCAACAAAAGTACCAGTCAACTTACAGGAGATACCCCTGGTGCCAGCACCTACTTATCTTTCTCCAGAGGCAGAAGTCCCCAGCCGTAGTATGAACCAGTTCTTTTTTCCACCCATATAATGTGTATTTAGTTCCCTAGCCCAGGATGAATCTTTTCTTTTTTTTTTCCAAATAACTTTTGCTGAGATTTTTTCTTGGAATATTAAATCACCTATTTTAAGTTATTTTATAAAGTGTTTGTATTTTTCTCTCATTTTATAATTTTTAAGAGCTTGAAAATGTCTTTGCTTGTTTTTCTTGACTTTTATGTACAAAAGCATTGTTCCTCTTTTTAATTAAAATATAAACAGAAGGAAAGGCAATCTGGGACATCCTGTCCATTCCGCAGTGCTGGGACACGGCCTTATCTGTCCTGAATGGAATAATACACCTTGCCATCGTGATCTGAATTGTATAAGTTATAACTGAATTAAATATCCTCCCAGACATTTACTCTGAACCTTTCCTCCCATAGTTCTGGAGTTGTTCTGATTTAGAGGCTTGAGATGTGACTCAGGGTAATAGTTCAGTTTAGATTTGTAAAGGTGAAGAGCAAAATACAAGAGCTTAATTAGTGGCTCCCATACAATTCCCTTGATGATTTTCATTTTCTCATTGAATAGTGTGACTTAACTTTACCTTTTCATGTTCTCAGGTGTCTTTCCACCACCATTGCCTGTGGATCCAGCAACATGTCCTATAGTTCCAGGGCAGGAGATGACTATAGAGATATCTAAGGGTCGGTCAGGCCTAGGACTCAGCATCGTTGGCGGGAAAGACACTCCACTGGTGAGTTCCTGTTAAACTCATACTTATTGTCTTTGTTAAAGAATAGGAGATAAAGGCAAGGAAAACATAGAAACTTATGATGCCATTAATCTGTAATTGCTGCAATAAATTGTTCAGTTCAGGGAGGAGAACCCAGCAACTACAATCTCCAATAACAAATTGGTAATTTTTGCCTTGTATCAGATCAATTGTTTTCTGTTCCTGTTTAAATTGAAAGATTTGTGTTTCAGTAGTGCTTTCTGCTATGCTCACAATTCACAAATGCATATTCTTTTTTAGCCATTGTGAATTAAGAGTTTCAAGCAGGTAAGTTACCAGGATGGTTGGACTAGAAATGCATGTCACAGAGGTAGAGCTGCTTCAGCAAGGTTAACACCTCTGTCTTGAGAACATAAATGCTTAGTAGCTGTTTAAACAAACTGTGATTATTCACTCTGCCAGCAAAAGCCCTTGCTGAACAGAGGTAAACCAAAGGTAATTTCTTATTGTTTTGTGTGAACTTTTGCTTAATTTTGCTTTTGGCTATGCTGTTCTTTAAAAAAAAATCTTCTGCTAAATTAAAATAAATCAATTTAAGTGTAAACTCAGCAAGTTAGTTATGCTAAACCCATCTCTGCCTGTGCTGTTGCTGTTTCCATTCCACTTTCAGTTTAAGAGATGCTATGTTACAGTATAACAGAATGTCAGATTGGGTTTTTTAAATGTCAAATTCAGTTCTTTCAGTAAACAAGTCTGCTGCAGAGGTGTCTTTACTGGGTTCTCCTTAATCCCCTGCTGCAGGGCCACTTAAAGCAATAGAGCTGCTCTGTTAGGTGCAGTTGTTCCCAAAAATATCATGGTGGTGCATGGTTAAGCAATGAAGTACTCTGAGTATCAGCAGCTACAGACAGTTGCAATGTAGTAATCCATTTCCAGACCAAGAATAAATAAATAAATAAAAAACAAGGAAGTTGAAAGGAAAAAGAAAATTTTGTTTTGCAAAGTGCAGGCTGTATCTTTTACAGTATTAAAGCTGAAATTGGAAAAGGTTCAGCTTTTGGTCCCATTTATCCACGTCTGTGATTATACAGAGTTTGGATGAATTGCTCTGTTTCACAAGGAGATGGGTCTGAGTTACGTTGAAGGCTTAAATCACACTTTATGGTTTTCACTCTGTCCAGCCGCGCACTGTTTTCTTCCCCTTTTTTGTTGAACTCCTCAGTTTTGAGTAAATTCAAATAAGAAGTTGAGCATTAGTCATCTCTCTGCTTTTTCATTTAACTGGAATTTGGAAATAATGCATGGCAGTCTGTCAGACACAATCTGGTACATGTCTTTCATGAGATTTTAATATAAATAAATGAAAATTATAAATATCTGCTTTACAGAGCAGAGGAGAAAAATGCAAAGGATTTTATTCTTTAAATTGAATAAATGGTTTTGGTTAAGTATCATATTTTCATTAGTTTATTCATTAAAGTGTCCTCCTAGGAATTTATTTTAAAAATCTATGCTCTTGATTGCAGTAACTGAAAGTCATGAAGGGAGGGAGGTCTGACTTCCCACACTTTTGATCCTCCCATTGCAGGACTTAACCAAAATGAGTCCCTGTTTCTTTTCCTATTTCTGAATCTGCTCATTCAAAGGCAAACAATGTTGTTTCAGAGGAAACAAGTTGCTTTTGTGATACCACAGGCTAATCTGATCATTTACCACATGCAGAGACTCTGGGATTCTCCGTAACTTACTTAACCAAAATGGTGCGTGCAAACCCTTCTCCTCTAAGTTGGTAGCCAGGGTCATGTTTTTAGCTGGTGGGATCATCATTGCTCTGTCTACTTTGTACTGCTGATCTTTTGTTCAAGGGTTGAAATGAGGTTCAGACAACGAAATATGGAGGGGTAAAAGAAAATACTACTCAGGACTGTAGGAAAGTTGCTGTCTTTCTGGGTTTTGTGGGCTAGAGAGGAAATATAACAAAATTAGGTACGTGGAACTGAGTGATGTATCTTGTCTTTCTCTCCAGCATTTGTTTTTAACTCGAGGACATAGATGGACATCTTTTGTATTTTAAAAAAGGCAAAATAAATTGACTTACAGCTTCTCTGTTTATGTCTGTGTTATGTGTCATAGAAGTTCATCACTTCTGAAGGTCTCGTGTGGCAGAAATTGTGTATCCAAAACCCATTGTTTTCTGCAGTGCAGAGAAATTAAACTGAAGCTGTAACTGGCTTCAGTAGTTCGAGATTGGGAGGGTTTTTTAACTGTTTTTGAAATGGGAATTGTCAGGTCAAAGTCAGAAAGAATGGGAGTAGCACCATTTGTAGACATCTCTGCAGACATGAAGTAGGGATGCTGTCTTTTGTGCTTTTGTAGTTCAGATGGTGCACACAGATGATAGAGGTGAGGTGAGATGAGATGGGCTGATGGGACCATGGAAATGTGCTCCATTGGAGATGGGAAACGGCGTGGCAGAACAGGGGTGGATCTGCAGGAGCAGTGCCTGTATGCACCACAAACAGCTGCAGAGACTTTTGCTTTTACCTTTTTGGCCTCTGAGAAAAAAAAGACATCAACATCCCTTTCTTCCTCCCTTTTCTACTGGAGTATCTTTATCTTGTACTCACACAGGTGTGTAAATGCCTATGAAATGATGAAGAATATCAACTGCAGTTCCCAGGATTTCAGAAGTAATTTATTGGTATGGAGAATAGAGGGAGACTGTGTCTTGACAGAGCTTTTCAAATCTAAGGGGGCTATGGCAAGAGTAAAGGGCCTCATCTATGGGATATTAAAATACACTTGACCTAAAAATGTTTAACTGAGTCCTAGGAGTCAACAGTGGTGCACAACAGCAGCTCATGTGTGATGGGAAAAGCTCACTGTGGAATATTTTGGATCTTTCTTAAAGACATGATGTACAGTCCCAGCTTTTAGAATAATAAATCTGGCAGCCTGTTAAAAGGGACGCAGTGCTTCAAAATGAAATATAGAGTGCAACTTTTAAGTCATAACCTTAGGAATCTCATCAGAAATCACCAAGTAGAGACTTGAAAAATACAACCTGTGAGCAGGGAGGTTAATTTGTTCAGGAGGTTGGAAAGTGATGCCTTAACCCCTGTGAAATGTTTTTTATTGAGAAGGTGACCATCCCATTAAACTTGCAAAACCTTTCAAATTGTGTGTATTATAAGCAAAGACTGTGGCTGTGTGCTTAGGGGAGCAGGAGGGCATCAGCTGCAAAGATGTGCTTGTAGAAAAGACACGAGGAAGGAAGGATTGTCCTTGAGAGTTGTCTTCATGTCGTTGATCTTTAGACTGCTATAGCCCTTAAGCAATCCTATTTCATTTTATTCTAAAAGTTTATTTTTATTTTTTTCTTCACTGCCTTTCATTTCACCTTCCCATGTACCCCTGAGAGAACACAACACATGGCCTCTGCTTTAAAGCAATTAAACTGCAGAGTGGAGCTGGCTGAAGTACAGGGCTTTCCATTTGCGAGAAGATTTTTTCTTTTTGGTTGTAGTCCAATCAAACTTGTAAAAGTAACCTCAGAATGGGAATAAAAAACAAAAAAAAAGTGTTTTCAGAAACATCCCAAAATAAGGTTTGAGGCTCTACCTCTGCTCCCCAGGACACCGTCCTGCCCCCTCGTCCCCCTGATTGCTAAATTATATATGAATGTTTGTCCGTTCCACTACTGCTAATAGCAGCCATAAACCTGACAGGGTTGTCATTGTCACTCAGCAGCTGCTGGTGCTCCTAGGGTGCCTGGACCACTCCAACCATGGGACGCCTGGGATTCATGAATGTGACAGACCTGTTTGGGCAACGCCTGTGGCGCAGCTCCGAGAGCCACAGGCACTGCAAAGCTCAGCACACTGGGCAGTACACTCGTGCTTGGGCTGCCAGCTGGATGAGCTGTGACTCTTAGAGACACGTGGAGCTTTCAGACTTTGGCGTTCCTCCGCAGCGTGCCAGCTAAACCACCACTAAAGATTGTGGTGGTTTCCCTCTTTTGGTTTGCAGCCAAACACAGCCCGCTCTCTCACTCATCCCGCCCCCGAGGGAGTAGGGGAGAGAATTGGAAGGAAAAGGGCAAGGAAACTCACGGGTTGAGATAAAAACTATTTACTAATTAAAATAAAATTATAATGATAACAACAGTAATAACAGAATATACAAGTGAGTGATGCACAGTGCAGTTGCTCACCACCCGCTGAACAATGCCCAGCCTGTCCCAGCCAGTGATCCTGGAGCACAGACAGTCCCCAAACCCTGGAAGAGTGAGAGCCCGAGCGATCCCCAAGAGAGTAGTCCTGATTTCTGGTCAACCCTGGTTAATACACTGACATGACGTGATATGATGTGGATATTTCATTGGCACATCCAAATGCCAATTTTGGGGTTTGCTATTCACTGCGCTTCTCCTTCCCAGTCCTAATGCAGCTGTGAACCAGCCAAACACAATGGCCTTGAGCTCCAGCAGCAACTCATAACATCAGTACTTTTATCAACATGCATCTCATAACAAATCCTACACTGAAACGAAACCACAGCTGTTCTAGCTACTAAGAAGAAAATAAACTCTGACCTAGCAAAACCAGGATGCCCATGCTGGACCATGCAGGTCTGGGATGAAGGACCAACCCTGCAGGATACAGGACTGGCAGCACTAGATAGTCCAGTTGTTCACTATAAATTTAGGAAACGTTCCTCAGTTTTTCTACTTTTGATTCATTGCATTCTTCATAAGTTGTTTCAAGGCAAATAATTTAGTTTCAAATAATAGGCTTTTCAATCTGAAACTGTTTTGCTAGAAAGTTTCTATGAGGTTTTCTTCTTAAATCATCTGAGAACAGGACATCAAGGAATTGTTTAAAAAAAAAGTGTCCTGGTACATCTCCAGATGGCCTGGGGGGTTAAATCATCCGAACCCCATTACCACCCCAAAATGAGCGAACACTGCGATGTCTTGTCCAGTTGGCAACTTGCAATGAGCCATTTCCTATAAAACAGGG